CCCTCAAGCTCCCAGGCCTCTGGTAGAGGACCCGAGCTTGAAGGATAAACCGCCCGCAGGGGCGTGCTAGGTGTTTTTTTTTTTATATATATATACATACATTTTGATATATACATGCAGTTTGATAATGAAGATAGACACGTGCTGTACTGTAGTATTTATTTCATCGAATCTGAATTCATCGAATAAATAGCCCCTTTAAGAAAATATACTTGCACATATCCACTATGCTGAAGAGAATCATTTGCATTCTCTTCAGGCTCACACCATCCGGTTGCTGCACCGAGGTCAGGTTGGAGCACGAGCGCCCTCAGGTGGAGATTTTGGACACTATTCAGATTAAAATGCGGGTTTCAGACATACCTTTGGGACCTGCAGTATGTTTATCAATGTAGTGCATGCCAGCTGAGCAGTGACACGTGGGACTTCACTCAGCTGGTTAGCGGTTGTATCGATAGACGTAGAAAATGTTGTTTTCAGAGTCATTTGCCTGTGACAGTAGAAAGACCAGATTCATCCATGTGCAAGGCTGAATAACCCAACCTCATATGTGTCCATTCCGGTCTTCTCTTCAGTGGCTCCTTGTTAAATTCAGAATTCACGCAACTGTTGGGTTTTCTTTCTAATACTACTGAGGTGACTGTTGTTGTGAAAACTAAACAAATAAAACTGAATTGAATTGAAACAAAAACAGAAAGACACAAAAACTTCACCTCTTCTCTGCCTAAAAGTGAAATATTCCAACACATGTTGTTCAGATTGCTGTAAACAAACAGGCAAAGTGCATGCACCCATGTATTGCAAAGGGCTCAAATTACCACTTGCAGTTATGGCGTGGCTGTGCGGGCCATAACAACTACGTGCAGTGTCAAAAGACCCAACAAACCAATGTTAAACCTGACCTCCAGCTGTGGCCGCAGCCATTTATTTTAGAAAAGCCACACACACACAAGAAACCACAGCATTTGAATTTAATGTCAGTGTCACAAAACCAAAATGAAACAAAACTATTCACAGACTCTCCTGCAGCATCCCAGTGAAGGACATTTATCGGTGCTGATGCTGGAAATAAATGGCTTGCAGTGTGAGAGCTCTCGAGGAGAGTTGCAGTCAGTCACAAACATATTCTTTATAGTGAAGCATGATGACATTTAAAACAAGGACTTCAGCATTATGGCTTAAACTCCATTGGCTCTGAAAGTGCAAAGACTTAAAAAAAAATAGTACACGCGTCAGGTGAAATCATCCTGACATTTTGCTGCCGAGTCAGAGTCCTTCCATGTTCAAAGACTTCTTTGAACGATCTCTCCTGGTCAGTGCTTATAACTGCCAGACTACCAATTTATGCTCTCTTTGTCTGGGATTCTTATCATATTATATTGCACTTACTGTCCAAGAACAAAGTCCCAGGAGGGTACAGTGCTGTTTTGAGTTACAATTCTAGAAAGTGCTGTAATTTTATTGCACTGCTGGTTTTGCTTCGCTTCTAAGGTACGAGCGCACAGTGCTGATGTCGTAAGCAAAGGTCTGATCAAGTCCGAAGCCAGCGGATGACTGCTGTGGCCAGTTAGGGAAAGGAAAGCGACAAGCGATAACAAGCGCGTCATCTGAAAGCTCTTTCAACAGCTTCTCTCCGAGCACCTCCATCTGTAAACCAGCGAGAAGAGCCAAATTAGCACAGCATCAGATGACCGAAAGCAGAGGAAAACAATCATTCTTCACGGGAAAAAAAACCCACTCACCACTCCCGGAGCAAGGAACGCTGTCACATTATTGTATGGAGACAAATCGGTCTAAAAGCAAGAGACAAACATGGTCAAACTACAGCTATTACCAAGTATAAAAGACTATATTTCTATCACAGTCTTACCTTCCAGAAATCTTTTTTAACAAAGACTGCCTGCCTGGAGGGGACTCCTGTCCAGCAGGCCTTGCTCCTGGCATATGCCACTAAAATGGAGTTTATTTCAAAGCCTGTGGACTGGAAACCAGCAGCAGAGGCTGCAAATACCTGGCAAGAAAACAGGAGGAGTTTCCAAAACAGTTCAACTCACAGCATATTCACAGATACCTTTTTCTCTAAGACAGGTACACTCATTCACCAGTCTTCCATCTCCTGATCCCAGATCTGCCAAGCGACCTGATCTACCCTCAAGCAGCTTCATCACGTTCGCAGTCTGATCTTTACTGGAGGGCAAATAGGGCACCTGGACAACAGTGCAAACATGCAGTGAGTCAGTACACATGGCAGGCATGATGTCTCAAGACTCTCCTTTTCAACACTGCCCTATTGCACAACTGACAGCATGCATTACAAAGTAATTGACATGAAAATATCCCAAATAAAATACAAATTGCTTCCATCTGTTGTTAAAGCTCCAAATTAAATGTACTTCTCTTCACAACAGTCAAGCCTGCTGTGACTATAGCCTTGAGTCAGCTCTCCCACTCACTGTCAGTGGAACTGCTTCACAATAATCTTCCAAATTACAATCTCAGCAGGACTCTCTGGTTCCCAGTTGTGGTAAACACTTTAAATCTGCCCATTGTACAAAACCATTTTTCTCCTATCATAACATGTTTTATTTGAGCTATAGCTGGAGTCATGTCATTAATCCAAACCACACGCATGCGTACACACACTCCTCTATACGAGGTAAACTGGTAAAAGCAATTTAAATTATTGCATATTCACATTAACAAAAGATCATGGTGCAGTTCTCCATAGAAGGTCATCATGATTAGACTTACCGCTGTCTTCTTTCCCACATTTGTTGCATGGAGCTTTATGCTCCAAAGCAAGCAAATCAATGTTAATGTGCAAGTTATGTTACATGATCTGATTTCACACATGCAACATTTGATATGTGAGTCAGAGCAGGTAGGTAAAAACCCTAAATCTCAGGGCGATCTCAGGTACCTTGAGCCTCCATGGGATTTTGCGGAAGCCCGGTAGGGTGAAGAGGCTCCATAATCCGTACAGGCCTGTAAGCAGAGCACCTGTGCAGGCTGAGAAGATGGGATGAGGTCTGTTGGTAGGGAAGACCCCGCTATAGTTTTGCAGGATTACTTCAATGGAGTCTTCCATGGCAAACTGTGGCAGGAGGGGTTAAAATACAGCAAATAAGTGGAAATATTAGTGCAGCCTGTATGAAACAAAATGCTACTTGTATGTGAGATATTCTGAGTAACTTACTCTCTGTTGTAATAGAAGGAAACTGATTTATTCATGTTGAGTAATACTGATTATTTTAAACATAGATAAAGATACAGGGTTTCAGAAGTATTTTTGTGATAGTGGTTTGGTCCTTCAGAAATTGTCTAAGTGGAAGCGTGGTTGTCTAGAAGAAATTCTTAAGGAAAGAAAAGAGTGAGAAAAGGCTGAGGTATGACCAATTACACAAGAGGAGATCAGGAGAACAGTGAGTGTCTACAGCCATCTAAAAAAAATAAATAACACGGTGGAAACTCTGCCATAGTTTGGAGCTGCATTTACAGCCTGTGATGCTGGGAATTGTGTCATAATCTATTAAATTATGAATGCAGAAAAGTCCTGTTAGATTTTGATCCACCGTGCAACACATTCTGGAAAGAATCTGATTGGTGACAGCTTCATTTTTCAGCATCACAATGATCCCAAACACACTGCTAATAAAGTAAAAGCGAGCATGAATAGAAAAAGACACACAGTGGATCACTATCAGTCATGAATTGGTTTCCCCAGAGCCTGGACCTCAACATTACTTAATCAGTGTGGGATCATCTTGACAGAGAACGGAACAAAATGCAGCGAACATTGAAAGAAGAGCTTTGAGCGTTTCAAGAAGCCTGGAAAACTATTAAGACTTCAAGACTATGTAATCAAAACACCAGAAAGCTTGTCTACAAGAGTTCAGTATATGTTGAAAAATAAAAGAAGACATGCCAAACATGGACTTTCAAGCTCATTAGAATTGTACAAACTCCTGTTTTTGCTTTATATACTGCATTTCCATGCATGTTTGTACTCGTTTCAACAAATTGCAGTGTCTATTTTCCATTTTCCTAGCAAAATATAAAGAAAAGAGGAGAGGCTCGAGGCTTTTCAATTCAATTCAATTCAATTTTATTTATATAGCGCCAAATCACAACATAAGTCGCCTCAAGGCGCTTCATAGATACAGAGAAAAACCCAACAATCATATGACCCCCTATGAGCAAGCACTTTGGCAACAGTGGGAAGGAAAAACTCCCTTTTAACAGGAAGAAACCTCCGGCAGAACCAGGCTCAGGGAGGGGCGGCCATCTGCTGCGACCGGTTGGGTCAGCACTGTGGTTATCAGAGCAGTTAGAGGCAACAAAATTGCAGATTTCAATAAATTCACTGTAATTATCTGGCTCGACATTTTCCATTTCATAAATTAATTCTAATTTAAATTACTTCCTTTCTGTACTGCAGTTTCTAATTGGACAATAAAACTTAAGACCAGTAGTGGCCATCATTCTGACACAGCTTACCTGCTGGATTCTGAAATACTCCATATATACATCGGCACCTTTTTAAAGAAACTGGTTACCATGTAAGTTTGTAAATGATCATGGTGTGAGTTTGCCTTAAAATATTCACAGACTTCAGCATTTACAGCAAAAAGCAAAAGCAAAAAAGTTTATATATATATACACACACACACACACACACACACACATATATATATATATATATATATATTACTATCGACCTCTTGTATTTCACGAGGAAAGCAACATAACAAATAATTTCAAATTCCTCTTATCACCATTAAGACTATAAAGCAAGCTGATTTCCACACCACATAGCATACACCACCAGAGCAGCGTTTCCGACAGCAGGTGGGGCTACAGTGACCTTTCACTCACTCGCCCACAAACCTTCTAGAAAAAAAATATTGACAACATTTAGGTCATGCACCGAAACTACTCGAAGGAACAATCCTGTTTATTCTCGACAACAAGGAGTTTTACCAGTACAAACTATCCCGAAAGAGCTATTTTCAGACACGCAGACATATTATAAGAGTTTTAGATTCTGGATGAAGTCGATGCAAGCGCATGCACAGTTAACCCACTCACAGCAGGACAGACAAACAGTTCGGTGTGTGGGTGTGTGTGTAGACTGGAGAAATGTGCAAAGTTCTAACAACACCTGAAAAACTCAACTATTGTTGACAGTTATGTCTGTCTACCTTACCTGACCCTCCCCCTCGTCTCCTGCGCACTCAGCAGCACGCACGCACGAACAGATCGTCCAGTCAAACAGCGTTCAGTCAGCATGTCCCGCCCTCTCGCTTCACGCACTTCACGCACACCCTATCAAACGTCTGCTTACTGCCTGACAAATGAGCTCTGACTGAATCCGAGTTGTACTCCACGGTAATTTCATGCCTCCTGGGTCTGTGCTGCTTATCGCATGGCGCAATAGTATAAGATAAGCCACTTAGGATTCAGGTGTGAACGCGTAAAAAAGCCTCTAATTAAGGCTGTTATATAAAAATAAATGTGTTTAAAATGCTTTAAATAGGTGTTTAATTACGATCATACATTTCAGGTGTGAATCTCTCTGCTCCATCTAATTATAGGCGCGATTATAATTGCAAAGATTTTTTTTTTTGTTGTTGTTGTTCATTTCCGCCGCGGCCTCATCCCAGACTCATTGAGCCGAAAGGTTCACAATAACAATATTCATCAGCATTCAGGGGTAGGCTCTTATTTGCACAGCCGCTTGTTCTCTGAAGTGGGGCTTTTTTGCTTCATGGGCGGGGGGACGGCAGAAAAACCGACCGACAGTGACGCAAAAGGAGAGGCTATTATATTTGCTTCCTGAAAAAAAAAAAGACGAAATTATGCTCCTGAGCTGGGAGTTTATTGGATGCAAGAGAGAGCTGTAAAACAAATATTTGGAGAAAAAAAACTGATAATAGAATGGACTTGTATGGGAAGGTAAGATTCGCCATTTTTAATATATATGCAAACTATAGCAGATACCCATAAAAGGTTTTTATCCCTGCACTCTTGATTTTGCATGGCAGGGGTCTGTACACGACATAGCCTACTGTTATCTGTTATTCTGACGCCCGTCAAAGGGTGAACTACAAAGGTTTCTCTTTCTCTAAATATTTCAGTTGTTGACAGTTGGACTGAGCTGCATGCTGAGTAATGTAGTCAAATCTATTCTTTTGATGCTGCAGTTTTCCTCCGCGCTCCTCCGGTGCAAAAACTACAACCCCCGTCTACGGGGTGACGGTGACGTCACAGACACGCACGAAACCCGCTTTTCCACCCTCCTCGTGTGCTCGTGCTCGGCTCACGCGGGCCAGCCTTTTTCGTCAGCTCGCGGGGTGGAGGGGAGGGGTGAGAGGCGGGCGCGTGCCAGATCGGAGGGGGACAGCTCCCAGGTGCTGAAATTGGTCGGCGCTCCACAGAGAGAAAGCGAGAGGCAGAGGGGGGAAGAAAACCAGCGCCCGCGTTAGATTCAGATATATACATATATTAATATAGATTTAAAAGAAAACGTATTCTACTAAAATAAAAAATAAAACAAAAAACAGGGCCAGATACAGATAGAACCGAGGCCTCCAAAAACAGGTTTGTTCACATAAATGTCCTCAACGCTTCTTCTTCTTCTTCTTCTTCTTCTTCTTCTTCTTCTTCTTCTTCTTCTCTTTTTTTCTGTAGCTTGTAGTCGTAATTGCGTGGAAGAATTTCATTGATAGATAAAAATGACCTGCCCAGAATTGGTCGCCGAAACACTAGCTGGCATGCGGCTTCTCGCTCATCCGCGGGGTGTAATTTTATAGCAGAGCTTCTTGCTTTATGCGGTGCGTGTAAATGACATCGTTGCAGCGATATTTTCAAAACTGTGTCCTTGCAAAAACACTCCTCGGTGGTGTTGTTTCATACGCGGAAGCGAACCGAAGTCCTGATCTTGTGTGTGATGGAGGTCCGGCATCATTTATTAACTGCACAGGTTTGGCACAGAGGCTTTGTCGGAACATTCACCTTGGAGGCGGATATGACTGTGCTGGTGTCGTCCTGTTCGTAGTACTCTCGTCCTCGGAGGTCGCTGGCTGCTGACAGCTTGTACTGAAACGGTTTGGGTAGATGCTCTGCTAAGGTGAAAGATCCATGTGTGCTCTGTCCTTTGTATAACACCAGTGTGTGGTAATATGGGATGAGATTTGACGTTTTTATCAAACAGAAGTCAATTTCTAGAAGAAAACTTCACAGAGGAAAAAATCAGTGAGTCTTAAGGTTTAAATAGCTCAATACAATATGAATAGGAGTTGTGTAAAATTAAACATTAAAAGATCTGAATCTGAAATATTGCCCTCGCTCTCTCTGCCATAACATTAATCGTCTTCATATGTTAAAGAAAGTATTTTAAGAAAAAATCAGGCTTTTAAAAGTCCTGGTTATCTAGCATTCATCGATACAACAGCTTGTGGTGCTGCTCATGCTGGTTTGCCTTACACAGCCTTCTGTCACCTCTGATCTGGCCTTGTAGAACAAGCTTGCACTTTTTACTCTGCATCTGTCTGCAGCACTCTCTTTTACTTTGTGGTCAATGGACATGAACCATCTTAAAAAGCACTTTTCTAAAAATGTTTCCAACCCTTTGCATTAACCTCCCCTCCCCAACCTCTTTTTTTTTTTTTTTCTTTTGCAGATGGCTGCCACTCAAGATGCGAAAGGAAAAGGAGAGGGAGGGGAAAATTTTGACTATATGTTTAAGCTGCTGATCATTGGTAACAGCAGCGTGGGCAAAACGTCTTTCCTGTTCCGCTATGCAGACGATGCCTTCACCTCAGCTTTCGTCAGCACCGTGGGCATCGACTTCAAAGTGAAGACTGTGTACAAGAATGACAAGAGGATCAAACTGCAGATCTGGGTATGAAATATTCAAACGCGAGCATTAAACATTTAGAAATGAGCCACAAAATATTTGACTGACGACCTAGCCAGAAGAAACAACTTGACAAATTTTGTTGAGAAGGAACGCTCTTTTAGAACCTGGATTCCTATGTAATGCCGTCTGAGCACAGGCAAAAGTTTGTGTTATATTTGAGTCTGTTTGAGGACGTAGGAGACCTGAAATGACACCAAAGCAAGCTTTAATGGTGATAGTCCAGGGCATAAACAAAGTCCAGAATCTATAAAATGAATTGCAAAGTAGGAGTTCCAAAACTTAGTAATCACTAGGAACATCAGCTAAGTAGGAGTACTCGACAAAGGAAAAGGGGAGACTGAGATCAAATATATAAAAGGTAATACAGGAAGTGGAAACTGCAAGGAACACAGACACAGAGAGCAACACTTAGCAAAATAAAACAGGAAGAGCCACAACTGAACTGATAAAAACAAAAAGACCAACACAAAGATGAGACTGAAGGAACAAAATGGGAACACTAAAGGGAACTAATAAACCTAAAGTTAACTATGCCTAAACTACAACTAAAGACACAAATAACAAAACAATAAAGAACCAATCCTGAGCATCAGAAGGAGGAAAAACTCATAAGCATAAGGAAATACACAATGAAAACTATACAACAATCTCTCGTTTCCCTCCACCTTTGTGTTCCTGCTGAATGACCCCTGTTTGTAAAAGGCTGTCAATCTATCACTTTGTCCTGACCTCTGTCCATATCTTCTTGTGTTTCAAGGATTCGATTGCTTTATATTTGGCAAAGTAAAAAACCCCCACAACTGCACACAAAGGTATTAATTTAGATATTGGATAGAACATAACCACTTTAGCTCTGTATTTGAATTTGAATTTTTTCTATTATCTCAATTGACATCAAAACATATCTCTAGTGATTTCTTCATCATTCCTATGGATTTCTCACATTTCTCTCTAATTTGTTTACATTCTTCCAAAGCAGTTGATAAGTTTGTAAAATTTTCCCCGTGATTGATGTCTTTTCACACAGAGAAAAATCCAAGTGAACCAAAATGCGTCACTGCAAACCACGTGAGAATGGTCAATCTGTTTATTGGCCAGATGTGACCGCGTGCGACGCAGCAAAAGTAAATACAGGAAGAAGGTGCTGTGCTCTAGACTATTGGAGAACATGGAGAATTTAGGTGTGAAGACGCTCTTAGAAAACGTGTGGTGCATTAAGCTGGTCGCTTAATTAACTCCATAAAGCTTCAGGAAAGGCTATAATGTGTTTGACACTCTAGTGTAAGCACTGAGACAGATGGAAGCTTCAACATCATTGACAAGATACTAGTAAGTGTTAGTTTGCCGCCCAGTGGGAGAGGAAACAGAAGCAACACCTTCTCTAGAACGTGTGGGAAACTGAAGAATGTCTGAGTTTGTTTAATTAGGAGTTCATCTGAGCTGTGAAACCAGATTGTCTCACTACACCTCTGAGATAGTGGGGAGAAGCAGAAAGCTTCTTGCTCTCTTTCTTTTTCTTTGACTTCCTTTCTACTCACTTCCTTTCTGTTTTCTTTCTGTATTGCCACAAGTGTCAGCTTTCCTTCAGAGGTTCTGCTCTCTTGTTTGTCATCATAGCTGACTTTCTCAGCAATTAGCGATCCCCCAGACATTCGGCGTCTGCAAATCACATAGCGAGACAAAGCAAAGGCGCTTCGTCAGGATGTGGAAACAGACTTTGAACAGTCAAATAATTGGCTAATGGAGTTAATGTGTTTCCATCATAAGCACAGAAAAGCATAGTCAGAGAGAAAATCACTGGCCTCGCGTTCATGTAATCAGCCTATTGCTTTTAATTGGGCTAAGAAAGAGCTGTGGCACACACTAAGTGCCCATCTAAGGTGATGGGTGTTGGCTAATGTCACTGCGGTATGCACATCCTTAATCTGCTGAGGGATAAAACTGCATGTTGCATCACAGAGCTGTCCCTACTGTCGCATTAGGCTGAGCTGAATGAAACCAAGAGTGCTGGCAGCGTCATCATAGTGGAAAAACAGAAACTCACTTCACTCAATGAAGAAGAGTCGGGCTCCCTCTCCACTTGAAGCAGTCAGCTTGTTGGATTGATTTCTGGTGAATTGCAGACTACAAGCGAAGCTTTTCAAGGAGCTCAAATTCTCTGTACTCAAGCAGATTTTTTCCCTCTCGCTCCATCTTTTTAAGCAACTCACTAAAACATCCTTGAAATGCAAAGGTCATTGTCAAGCACTCGGCCAAGAATCAAAAGGCTTCTAAAACACTTCAAACTGAAAGAAAGGAACAAGACTGTGGTTACACTAGCATTCATACGATTGGAGGATAACTTCATATATGCACAGTGAGAGTGAACAAGTTTCTGAAACATATCTTCCCCTTTTTATGTTGGTCAGTCCACAAAAAAAGCTGTTTATGCAGAATCACACAGACTAGCTGCTGACATTAAAATGCACATGTTTGCATGCATTCGTTTTTGCAGCATTGTCAACTGACAAAAGG